TATAGATTCCTGGCCCCCTGGGGCCTCCGGCACAAGCTTATTAGTTAGATATTTTAGTCGTGGTTAAGTGGTAATTTATTGAAGGTGGAGGGGTTACCAGCCTTTCGCACCCGTCCAGAGCCCCCATTTAGCCACTGTGGTGGTCACAGACGCCATGAGGTGAGAGGCCAATATGAATTGGCCCACCCCCCCCACAGCACTGTCCACGACAGCGTTGTCCGTCCGGCACACACGTACACCAGACAAACAACTGCCCCCACAAGTTGAGAGCTAAATCGAAGGATTTCCAGTCCTTTGTGAGAAAGCGAGCCGAGGGGAGAGAATTTCACATATAAGGAGGGGCCTGCAGCTGCCGCCGAGCGAGAGAGACAGAGAGCCGTGTGTATGACACGCCCACACTCACACACCCACAACACATCACCCAGCAGGGAACCAAGGAATAATCGGTACAAGGAACGCCCCACCTCAGCGTCTGCTTAACGCAAAGAGTTGAGCAAGGAGACAATCCACACGCATTACGCACATGTCGGGACTAATAAGAGTACTCCAAAAGTTATCCTTGTGTTTCGAACGGGGCCATCCTGAGGCGGTGCGTGTCTTAGCTGATCGTGAAAAGCATTGCTACCCATTTAGTTACGTGGATATGGTCGTTAGAAGTATTTTAGTCGTTATTTTTGTTAATTGCATAACTGTACCAATCAATTAATTGATGAAACTAAACATTTAGAAACATCTACGTTACGAATCTACATATTCACAGGGAGACTATTGTGTTGAAATATTTATTTTGATCACAGAATCTTGCCTGCGAATGTATTGAAGCCTTAGCCAATTGATGAGCATTTGCTGAAACAGGCACACTGCCACACAGCATTGTTCCAAGACATTTCGTTAATTGCATAATCTTACCAATGAATTCATTGAGATCTACTTTTGCTTTCGGGACATGTTTATTTATTGCTGTTTGTATTAGTATTGTCACATTAACTTTTAAGGACTGTTTCCCATCGCCGTGTATGCTCGCTTTACTCTGAGGAATTAACCGATTGTTCTGTTACCCAGTTTAACAAACGTAATCATTGAGGGTTAAATGTATGGATCAATGAGGAGGACATCTCCAGGAGTACTGTGTTGATATTCCAAGCATAAGGGTTTGCATATTATAGTGTTATGTTTTTGTTTAGAGATTAAAGTTGCTTAACACAGAAGAGTCTGAGTGGTACCTTCCTAAGTTCATGCATAATAATCTTAATTATAAGAACTGTATCCTGCGGTGAGATCTGAATTTTGAGATCTGACATAAACACTAAGACATAATCAGTTGCGCCGTAGATGGAGCGGTACCTCGTACCGTCAGGGGAGGGGCTGCAGTGCCAGCCCAAGAGGGGAGGGGCTGCTGAGGGCTCAGGATCCCAGACAGCTAAGCCCCTCGGCGCTCCCAACAGGGGGGGGGGGGGGGGGGGGCTGCGGGGGTTCTGGGATCCCACGCAGCCCCACCCCTCGATGGGCAAGGGGCATAAAAGGGCACCTCCCCAGCCGATCTGGACCAGTTGAAGACGGAAGCCGAAGGGCAGCAGCTAGATAGTACCCTGAAACCCCCTAGCCCCACTGCCCTTGTCAGGGCCGGGACTCTGTGCGGCTCAGCGGTGAGACCCTGGGAACCTCTGGCCCCGACGTCCTTGTAAGGGCCGGGTCCAGTGGGTCAGTAGTCGGAACTCGCACCCTGGCTAGGGCGAGTTAGAATAGCCTCCCCCTAGACACCCATAGCCGGAGGACCCTGAGTGGAGTCCTGTGTTAGGGCACGTTAGCCCGGAGGCAGTGCCTCCCCAGACAGTAGGTGTAGGAAGACAGTAACCCTGAGTGTCCTGGGACTGTACTGCCGAGCGAGGTGAACACAACAATAATCTTAATAATAAGAACTGTATCCTGCGGTGAGTTCTGAATTTTGAGACCTGACAAACACTAAGACATAATCAGTAAAAGTTAAAGCGAGAATCATTGTATTATCCCGATTGATAATACAACCCTAGACAACGAGGCAGAGTTTAATTGTAATCATTAACATAAATATTTGCATAATTACATTAATTAGCATAATTTCGGATAATAATAATAACTGTATAATAATAACTGTAGGGGTGATTGTCACTCACCATTCAACAGCCTGTAGTTCCACTTACCGTCAATAGAGTGCAGAGGCGTTACCTCGCCAGGGCAAATGCCATGGGCCGGAGAGAGGCCAACGGTGGATCCCAGTAAACGGATCCTGGGACACATTCCCCGGCCCCCCGGGTGGGGGGGAACCGGGGGAATGATGTTACCTTAGAGTGTTCCAGAAGGGGGGCATTCCTAGGGCAGAGCAAGCCACGAACGGGTATATAAGCCAGAGCTCTCAGAGCTCTGGCTCAGTTATATGCACGCTGAAGACAGAAGACCGGGCTGGAGAATAGGACCCTAGACCCCAAGCTCCGCAGTCCTTCTAAGGGCCGGAGCTCAGTGAGGCCAGTGGTCGGGACCCACAGACCAGGAGGTCAGGGTCAGTTAGCCTCCCCTAGGTCCCAGCCGGAGGACGTTAGGGAACCGGTTACCGGTGTTAGGTCCCGTAGTTTGCAGGCCATAGCCCCTAGGTATCAGGTGAAGGGACCGATATACCCTTCGTGATAGGGACCCTTAATAAAGACAATAAACAAACGTGTTGCCTCATAAGAAGTTAATTCGTCCGTATTTACAACACTACACAACAAAGAGTATAGCTAGTGGGTTTTCAAAGTACCTTCAGCCTACAGAAATCAATTTCGCGTGAGCCCACCGCATTAAAACAATGCTCAGCTGAGCGGGGCGAGCCACGGGGGGGGGGGGGGGGGGCACCTTATCTCTGTCACGTGCCGAAGCTCACGTGACTTCTGCCGGGACAATGTCTGGATTTTTTCGCCTGAGGACGACCGCTCGTGTTGCGAGTGAAACGTCGAGATTTATTATTTTATTTTATTCTACCTACGTGACTTTACCAAAAGAACCAAAAAGTATGAAAGTCTGCTGAACTTGTTCATAGCTGTGTACATCGATATCCCACATCGCTTACACGTACACACCACACACAATGAAATAAATAGAATATAGAACGACTTCCGGGGATCAGCAAAGATCGAGGAATCTTTTTCAATGGAGCGAGTTAAGTTTGTTCGATTAAACATCTCTCTGTCTGTGTCTCTGTTCGCCTCTGTGTCTCTCTCTGCCTGTGTCTGTCTCTGTGTCTATGTTCCTCTTGTCTGTGGCTGTCCGCCTGTCTGTCTGTGTGTGTCTGTCTATCAGCGTCTGTCAACGACTGTCAGTAGCAGCAGCTGTGGGGGCTACCGTCCCCCGCCATCATCGAATTGTCGGGGCCGTTGGCCCCGGACTCTCCCGTTAAATTTATACCATTACCACAACTGCAACAACCGGTGTATGATTATGCACGTGGGTACCCGTGTACCTCACGGCGCAGCTCTACTCACGCGGTAACTACCGCCAGCAGCATCACGTGCTTGAATTGTGTAATCTTGTTTTATTTCCCGTCGCAGCCGTTCGGAATCAACTAATTAGGCTGCGGAAAACCCGCTCACCAATTTATCTCTATACGCCACACGCGCGGCGCGTGCCGTGAGCGCTGCTGCTCCTGCACGCCCCGTACTGGTGCGGGCGAACTACAACCAGCGTCACACGATGCATAGGCTCACCACACCACGCACTAGTGAATTTAATGATCGAAGGACCCGTACTTTCATTCCCAGGGTGATAGCACGTTACTGCTGCCCCGGCATGCGCGTCAAGCCCCGAGTGAACCCACCCGTGCGAGCGTAAACACGTGGGTAAAATTACTCACTCACGCGCAAACAAAAGAATCACCGCGGGCAGGCTCGCCACACCACGCACCGCCCCTCCGTACTCACAGAGACAACACGACACGGTTTATACCCTACGGACGGTTTATTCCCCACGAATAAACGAACTAGACTGTGCGTGTCAGTACGGACCAGCAGGACAGGTCTAACCTATCTCTCTACTGCCTGATACTTAATCGGCCTGCCCGCTCTCTATTTTCTCTCCGAATTTCGCCCCTTTGTCTTACCTCTCTCCCTCGTACTTACGGTCCGACCTCGCAGCGATGGAGGTTGCGGATAGATGATCCTGTAAACAGACTCTGGCTGTTCTCTGCCCCGTCCCACGGACGTGCGGGTAACAGTGAGATGACGGCTCCTCGATCCCTCCCTCCTCTTGATCTCCAGTCAAAAATGGCCCCGTGCTTCCCCAAAACGTCCCTTTTTATGCTCCTTTCAAAGCCCTCGCCATGCCCATCCGCGGTGCATCATGGGTAGAGCCGTTAATCCGTGGTGCATCATGGGTAGAGACGCTAACCCGCGGTGCCCCATGGGTAGAGACGCTTAACCCGCGCTGCCCCGCTCCCCACCTGTCTGCTGGTCCGTGTGTGTCTTGGGCATCTCCTCAACTGCGGTTCTCAGTGAGTTCGCTGTGGTCATTTAATTCTAAGTTAAGCCACGGCGCCGCAGTGCCATTTGGCCTGGGCGGGGGGGGGGGGGGGGCCTGCCAATTCCCTGACCCTGAGAAACCGTGGAGCACCCCTACGAGGGGGCCTCTCGGGTAAAAACTCAGGGCAGGTGCCCCCCCTCCCCATGAGGCCCTACTTGAGTGTGTGTGTGTTTATGTGGGGGCTTCGCTGTTGTGGCACCACACAGCGCCCGTTTAGCTCCCACAGCTACACGCCACTCAAACTTGCTCCCAACACACAAAGAATGTTGGGGCAAGTGCTGTTAATGGGCACCTAAGACAAAGATCCCCCGTATAGCCTTGACAGACTGTAGGGGCAAGTGCTGTTAGCGAGCACCTATTAAGGGTGGGACGGCACACGAGGGGGTGGGTGGCCAGCACCACGCCCGGCCGCCTTTGTCTCCATAGTGGCGATGTTTACACACCGCACCGGGTACTCGTTTGAGGCTGAGTCGACGTAGGGGAGGCTCAGGACCGGTTCAGAAAATCGTCACTGGCGGTGTTGGCCACGAGCGGGAATGGAACTCGGCTGGTCGGGTGCGGAGCGCAGCGCTCGGCACGTCACTGCCGCTCCCCTACTGTCAACAAACTTGAACTCTGACCCCGAGCTCTGACGTCACCGCCCAGCGTGACCTCATCGACGTCAAACGCCAGAGGGCGGTGGGCCTCGCTAGTGACGTCATGTCAGCCACCCCCGACCACCGCTCTCTTGAGCGTGACGTCACCTCCTTTGGGCCGCTGACGATTTCTGTTCCGGTGCCAATCCATATTTGGGCCCGGTGATTGGCGTCACATTAACATAATGTGTTCGTGAAAGCCGTCGCGAGTTTTTTGTGACAGGATCGGCACCCGCGCCCCATCCCTCCACGTATGGGCCGTGCTCATTAACATAATTTATTTAAGTTACAGAGCCGCTCATTGTGAGAGGAGAGTGTCTTTTACCCCAGAAGTTGCGTCATGTCACCGCCTGCTGCCGCATGACGTTATGAGGTATCAGGAAGTTTCCGCTCCGCGCGTGAACTGAAATCCGAGGTGAGAAATTCTCATCGCGATTGTGGTAGTGGTTGTGCTGGTGGTTGTTGTGGTGGTTGTTGTTGTTGTTTACAGAGGTAGAGCCTCGCTCTCTCTCGTAGGGATGTCAATTGAGCAGCAGCGAGCATGGAAGCGATGTCCAGGTTGAAGTTGGTTGGAACAACGTGGGGCCTATCCACGGTGGGGCCTTGCCTCCTGCCCTCGCCTGATCGCGTTTGCTTCAATTCTCTCGCTTAAGTTGAATTTGTCTTGACCCGGCTCGCCACTTTGAAACTTTGTTTTACTTTAAATATTCACACAGTTTTTATTTTTTTACCAGGCCCAGCCCGCTTGAGCTGCTATAACGCTCTTGTTTTCAGAAGCGACCTGCACACAACACAAGGTGAGGCTGGTCAACAGCGTGGTGGTGTTCACTCTAGACGCGTGGTGGTGTTCACTCTCTCCATGTGGAGTGGGGACAACCGGGGGATCCGGAGGGAAATCCACGCTACCACGGGGAGAGAGAGAGACGCAAACTCCAAATATACAGCAGGCGTCAGGGTTGGGATCGAACCCACGACTTCCTGTATGCCAGGAGAGGTTGTTAACATCTCACCACGGCGAGAGAGAGAGACACGCAGCCTCCGCGATGTTTATTGATCCTCAATGAATTACTTGCTGGAGTGACGAAGTATTAATAGTGAGCAGGTGAAGGTGGCCAGGCATGGGTCTGGACACACCACCACTTATTCTTAGTTTTTTCGGTAAAGTCACGTTGAAGAGAAACAACAAAATAACAAAAAATATATATAAAACAATAAAAAATTCTCACGACGTTTCGACCATAACTCAAACGGTCATCATCAGGTGTGTTGGTTTGCATGATGATGACCGTTTGAGTTATGGTCGAAACGTCGTGAGAATTTTTAATTGTTTTATATATATTTTGTTATTTTGTTGTTTCTCTTCAACGTGACTTTACCGAAAAAACTAAGAATATGAATTACTGCAGTCACGAAAGCTTTAAATCAAAATTTACACCACCACTTGTTTACCATGCCAGTGTGTGACAGTGTAAAATTTGTGTTTGCAGTATAGTCTATTAACTCTGTTGAACACAGAGGTTATATCAAAACAGTAGTTTACTTTTGTTTTCCTCTGGAACTCTTTGTAAGAATGGAAACAGGAAATTGACACAGCACACACATGCAGCTGAAGTCGGATCTGTTCATCCCAGCATTCAAGGACATCTGTGCCTGGCTTCACACCTCTAAGTTGCGATTGAACATTAATTTATGCATTTTTGCATAACACAAATAGTATTATTTTCAACACCTTTTGCTATGTCAGCTGAACTTAGCTTTTATAAATATTCCTTTTGTAGCCAGACAGCCGAAATTGTGTGCTCGGAGTTTTGAGTTAACATTCATTTTGAAGATACGAGGGCTTCCAGGCATGTTCATGACCATTCGCCCTCTCATTGTGTGCCATAACAGCCCGTGTGGTGAATTTGGGAATTATATGAATAAGTATAGACGTGTAAGACACGTGTGTCTGTGTATATGCATTCTTCTGTGCCTCGATACTGACGTGTAGATGGTGTGGATGTTGTTTTTTTCTGTCTGCAGCTGTCACTTCCTCTGCAGAATTTGTCTGATGGAGCAAAGGCACTCGGTGCGGCTCAGTGCAAAAAGGCAACAATGGGACCGGCGTGCATACAGCACGGATCGTCCTGGACATTTTACACGGCACCAGAGAACTCGCACAGGAGAGAAACCCAAGTGCAGTGTGTGTGGGAAGGCATTTTCACATTCATCTGCTTTTAAAAAACACCAGAGAACACACACGGGAGAGAAACCCTTCAAATGCACTCTGTGCGGGAAGGCGTTTTCAGATTCATATAATCTTGCAGCACACCAGAGAACTCACACAGGAGAGAAACCCTTCAAGTGCAGTGTGTGTGGGAAGGCATTTTCACATTCATCTACTCTTGTAACACACCAGAGAACACACACGGGAGAGAAACCCTTCAAGTGCAGTGTGTGTGGGAAGGCGTTTGCACGTTCATTTACTCTTGTAGCACACCAGAGAACACACACAGGAGAGAAACCCTACAAGTGCACTCTGTGCGGGAAGGCGTTTAAACATTCATCTTCTTTTAAAAAACACCAGAGAACACACACAGGAGAGAAACCATTCAGGTGCACTCTGTGTGGGCTGGCGTTTTCAAATTCATCAAATCTTCATGTACACCAGAGAACACAGAAGCATCAGAAGATCCACCAGGAGTGGAGTCTGAAATCAGCTCGTGAAAGTCAAAGTCCCGCAATGAGCCCATCCCTCATCAAACAAGAACCGGAAGAAAATCCCAGCTTGGACACTTTTAAATTTATCAAGGTGAAATATGAAGAGGTGAAGGTGAAATGTGAAGAAGTGATGGTGAAGAGCGAAGAAGTGAAGGTCAAACGTGAAGATGAAGATTCAACTCCAATATGGGACCTTCACATCTATGGAGGCAATGTGAAGCAGGAGGAGAAATCTCACTGTGAGGCAGAGCGAGGCAACTCCCAGCAGTTTGTAGAAGTGGAGGTGTGGGTGGACTTCGTCCGAGACAATACAAAGTCCAATGGAGACCCGGTAGATGTGTAAGCCAGAGACGATGTCGCTCCAATAGAAGCACCTTTGTCACAGGCCTTTAATGAAAAGAATGAAGTTGAACACTCAATTCCTAGGTTCAACCTGCAGGGTAAGAGCGGCCAGTCTTTGTGGACCTGTGGGTTGGGTAGATCTCGAACCAGGAGCGAGAGGCAATAATCTCCCTAGCATTCACTATGTTATAATAATTGCATTTACAGTGAGGGAAAAAGTATTTGATCCCCTGCTGATTTTGTACGTTTGCCCACTGACAAAGAAATTATCAGTCTATAATTTTAATAGAAGCTTTATTTGAACAGTGAGAGACAGAGTAACAACAAAAAAATCCAGAAAAAAGCATGTCAAAAATGTTATAAATTGATTTGCATTTTAATGAGGGAAATAAGTATTTGACCCCTCTGCAAAACATGACTTAGTACTTGGTGGCAAAACCCTTGTTGGCAATCACAGAGGCCAGACGTTTCTTGTAGTTGGCCACCAGGTTTCCACACATCTCAGGAGGGATTTTGTCCCACTCCTCTTTGCAGATCTTCTCCAAGTCATTAAGGTTTCGAGGCTGACGTTTGGCAACTCAAACCTTCAGCTCCCTCCACAGATTTTTCGATGGGATTAAGGTCTGGAGACTGGGTAGGCCACTCCAGGACCTTAATGTGCTTCTTCTTGAGCCACTGCTTTGTTGCCTTGGCCTTGGGTTTTGGGTCATTGTCATGCTGGAATACCCATCCACTACCCATTTTCAATGCCCTGGCTGAGGGAAGGAGGTTCTCACCCAAGATTTGACGGTACATGGTCCCATCCATCGTCCCTTTGATGCGGTGAAGTTGTCCTGTCCCCTTAGCATAAAAAAACACCCTCAAAGCATAATGTTTCTACCTCCATGTTTGACAGTGGGGATGGTGTTCTTGGGGTCATAGGCAGCATTCCTCCAAACACGGCGAGTTGAGTTGATGCCAAAGAGCTCCATTTTGGTCTCATCTGACCACAACACTTTCACCCAGTTCTCCTCTGAATCATTCAGATGTTCATTGGCAAACTTCATACGGGCATGTATGTGCTTTCTTGAGCAGGGGGACCTTGCGGGCGCTGCAGGATTTCAGTCCTTCACGGCGTAGTGTGTTACCAATTGTTTTCTTGGTGACTATGGTCCCAGCTGCCTTGAGTTCATTGACAAGATCTCCCGTGTAGTTCTGGGCTGATTCCTCACCGTTCTCATGATCATTGCAACTCCACGAGGTAAGATCTTGCATGGAGCCCCAGGCCGAGGGAGATTGACAGTTCTTTTGTGTTTCTTCCATTTGCGAATAATAGCCCATTCCAGCCTTGTGTAGGTCTACAATCTTGTCTCTGACATCCGTGGAGAGCTCTTTTCGTATTGGCTATGGTGGAGAGTTTGGAATCGTATTGATTGATTGCTTCTGTGGACAGGTGTCTTTTATACAGGTAACAAGCTGAGATTAGGAGCACTCCCTTTAAGAGTGTGCTCCTAATCTCAGCTCGTTACCTGTATAAAAGACACCTGGGAGCTAGAAATCTTTCTGATTGAGAGGGGGTCAAATACTTATTTCCCTCATTAAAATGCAAATCAATTTATAACATTTTTGGCATGCGTTTTTCTGGATTTTTTTGTTCTGTCTCTCACTGTTCAAATAAACCTACCATTAAAATATATGGTGCTTGCTTAATCGCCTCGGAAAATAGAGTTTTGTATCGTATCTCGTCTCGTCTCAAACACTCGAAGAGCACCCACAAGTAGCAGCTGCTCCTGTGTGGCACAAGGTGGTGGCCCTGCACCGGCCTGCATGTGGACAAGAGCCTGTCAGTAAGGGGCGATGGTTGATGTGGCATCCCAGTTGTGTAGTTTGTAGGTAATGTTTAGAATTTGCTACATTTTTATCCAGACGCCAGCATGCAATGGCCTTACTCGTTTTGAATGACAACAGTATGTTGTACATACACTGTTAAGCAGACGATTGTATTTTTAAAAATAGCTTCTTGCTAATACGATAAAACCTGATGCAGCATATTTCAGTGCAGTAATTCAATTTTGTTAAAATAACTCAATAATTTAGAATTAATACTTGTCTGATTGTGTACGTAAATGTAACATTTTGTCTATAACGGTCAAACATTTAAACAAATGTTTGGACAAAGTGTGTGTTTTGGAAGTAACCTGTACGGATAACTCGGGTGAGACCCGTTGTTCTTGTGATACAGGTCAAAGGATATTTTGTGTTTTCAGGAAGCGTCTGCCTCTGTAGCAACTCACTGTCTTGGAAATAAGGAGCACACTCGGATCATGCATCAGTTACAAGGCATACCACTTAAAAGTTATGTTTAGGAGAAACATTCTTTACAACACGAATTATAATTTTGTATTACGTGTTGACGTAGATTTTGTCTAACTAGTACTATAAATGCTCCTTGCTAATTAACGTCTGGATGTTCAAAACTATCGGTTGAAGCAAGCCCGGCTGCTCTTGAGACGCTGTACACCAGGGGTCGGGAACCTTTTTGACTAAGAGAGCCATGAAAGCAAAAAATTTGGAAATTTATTTCAGTGAGAGCCATATAATATATTTTAAAAGTGAATTCAACTAAATGTCAGTATAATAAGCCTCTGAATTTATTCTTTTAAATAATGTTGTTATAACACTCACCATTAATGCGACTTCTGGTGCTGCATGGATTTGCTGATGTCTATGTAGTCGGTTTGTTACTTGGTGAGGTTAAGCTTCATGCAAGCGTTGAGGCTTTCATCCGTTAAACGTGATCGTAGGTTGGACTTGATGTTTTTAAGATGTGAGAATGACTGCTCACATGCATACGTAGATCCAAACATGGTCAATACAGCAATACTCACACGCTGCAATGTGTGGTATGTGACAGGCAGCGCGTTCCAAGTTTTGAGAATCAGCTGGTCTTCGGGTTGGAGTTTTTTCATTTCTGTCCACATGTGCTTGCTCGCCAACTCCGCTTTCTGTCGTGTGATTCTTTCCAAATCTTCATTCAGTGACTTGAACTTATTCACCCACATGTCTGAGGCCTTCAGGTCAGCCACTTCTGCTTCAAAATCTCTGACGGAGATACCAGGGATGTAATTCAGGTCGGCTGTGTTCAGTGAACACTCGTTTGGATGGGTGATGAACTTAAAAAGACGAGTGTGCTCACGAAATTCTCCAAAGCGTGCTTTGAAGGACTGTAGGAGACTGGATGTGCAGCCAGCTAGCTGGTGGAGATCAAGGTTTTGAATGGGCTCACTTGCTGTGCATGCATCTTTAAATTGGCTCAGTTTTTCAAAATGTAGTAAACGACCTGTTTCAAGATCCGTGATGAAAAGCTCCAGCTTGTTTTCAAAAGCAAATACAGCTTGTTGAAGGGATAACACTGTATTTCCAATGCCTTGCATTTTCACGTTGAGCTGGTTCAGATGTTCAGTCAGATCTACGAGATAGTAAAACTTGAGGAGCCACTCGGTGTCGGCTAGCTCAGGATGCCCGACGCCTTTCATTTCAAGGAAAGTCCGGATTTCGTTCAGGCAAGCCGCAAAACGGCTAAGCACCTTCCCTCTTGACAACCAACGCACATTGCTGTGCAAAAGCAGACCAGGATAGTTATTTACAACTTCATCCAGCAGTGTTTTAAACTGGCGATCATTTAAGGCTCAGGCAACAATAAAGTTGATCACACGAATGACCAGCGACATCACTTCGCCAAACTGCCTGTCACACATCTGAGCACAAAGTGCCTCCTGGTGTATAATGCAATGGAAACTTAGGATGGGTCTATTTTCATGTTCACGGAGAAGCGCCACAAATCCTTTGTTTTACCCCACCATACACGGAGCACCATCAGTACACACTGAGAGAAGTTTATCCATAGGTAGACTTTTTTCTTGAGCAAACTCCATGGAAGACTTGAATAAATCCTCACCTCTTGTGGACCCTTTTAATGGCAGAACAGCAAGACTTTCTTCGCGCAGTGTGTCACCAACAGCATATCTTGCAATCACGCTGAACTGCGACAAATGGCTCACGTCTGTTGACTCATCCAAAGCCAGAGAAAAGAACGGCGCTGCATTTATGTCCTTCACTTGCGTTTCCTCCACTTTGTTTGCCATCACGATGGTACGATCATGAACAGTTCTTGCCGACAGAGGCATGTCTTGTATCCGTTTGATTATCTTGTCTTTGTTCGGAAGATCATCAAAAAGTTCATTGGCTACATCCAGCATGAACGTTTTAGCATACTCGCCATCTGTGAATGGTTTTCCGTTCCTCACTATTGCTAAAGAACCAGCAAAGCTAGCCGAATTATAGTCACCTTGCCGGGTCTATACGCGGAGTTGCTGCTGGCTAGCTTGCACCCTGCTCAGAAGCTCTTGGCACGCTTTCTTTCTGCTGTCTCCCGCAGGGTATTTTGATGCAAAGGTAGCGTGGCGCGTGTCGAAGTGCCGCTTTACATTCGACCGTTTCAACGATGTAATTTTGTCATTGCAAATTAGACACACCGCAGAACCCGCTCTCTCCACAAAGGCGAATTCTTCGGTCCATTCGTCCTGAAATGTACGATACTCGTCGTCTTTTTTTCTTTTCGCCATCTTCTTCGTCGAAGGGTTAGCTTTGAGCTAATGACCGAGCAGACGCAGTCTCAGACTGATTCAAAAGGGGGCGTTTACCTGTTTTACCCAGCAACGGCAAACGTAGGCCAGTATCATCCAATTAAAATAATGGACAATTGCTCCTGCAGCCCTGAACAGGACATGCGCAGTGAAAAATCGATGAATGAATTAAAACAAGTGAGAATATTGTTTTATCTGCGAGCCATATGCAATCATCAAAAGAGCCACATCTGGCTCGCGAGCCATAGGTTCCCGACCCCTGCTGTACACCAATAAAGGTCCACAGGTGGCTTGCACTGAATCAGTGATGCACTCCCATAAGGCTGTGCTAGTTATAGTTTGTGTAAAACATTCCTTTATTTCATGGAGAGATCGATAAATGAAAGATGTCGTGTCTGCTGATCTGCTTCATAGCAAGGAGGTAATTTTAAGAGCACATTTGAAATTCATTTTTGGTCCAGATTTGTATTCGGTTACAAGGCACAGCACATCTAGTAGATACATTCTCCACAACAACACTAATAATTTTGCATGATGTCTTATATGTTGGCGAACTCGGCCAAGAAATGGTCCTTGCCGATTAACGTCTGGATGTTCACAACCATGGGTTGAAGCAAGCCGGGACCACCTGCGGCGCCCCTCACAACCATTTTCGGCCTTTGGGCCAGGAACGACGCATCCACGCAAGCTCCCGATGCTCCGTTTTGAAGTTTGAAAATGAAACAACTTTGTATTATTTTTTGAATTACATATTTGTATTAATTAAAAGCTTATCATTTTACATCTGGAAAACTTAATTGAAAACGACATTTCGTGTGAATTTTCTCTCGTCGTTAAGTAGATGGCCTTGCCGGGGGTTCGGTTCGATGCGGACTTTCACCTGTTTGGGATCGCGGGATTGAGTTGAGGCGACACAGCTGGCCGTGCGAGAAGACCGCCGTCTGCAGATCGATTCCAAAGTGATCGAACGTCTGTCCCTGCGCCTCCGTCATTAATGCAGGGTGCGTGTAGGTTTGCAGTGCCCCCTCCATGAAAACGACGGGAAGTGCAGCGTTCGTCACAAATGAAGTTGCGCGCTTATATAAAAAGAGTATATCCAGTGGGTTCATATTCTTAGTTTTTTCGGTAAAGTCACGTTGAAGAGAAACAACAAAATAATAAAATATATATAAAACAAAAAACATTCTCGCGACGTATCGACCATAACTCAAACGGTCATCTTATTATTTTGTTGTTTCTCTTCAACGTGACTTTACCGAAAAAACTAAGAATATGAATTACTGCAGTCACGAAAGCTTTAAATCAAAAGCCAGTGGGTTTTCAAAGTACCTTCGTCTTACAGAAATAAATTTCGTGCGTGCCCACCGCATTAAAACAATGCTCAGCTGAGCGGGGCGAGCCACGGGGTGGGGGCACCTTATCTTTGTCACGTGACGTAGCTCACGTGACTTCTGCCGTGACAATGTCTGGATTTTTTTCGCCTGAGGACGGCCGCTCGTGTTGCGAGTGAAACGTCGCGATTTATTATTTTAATTTTCTGTCTACGTGACTTTACCGAAAAAAACAAAGAGTCTGAAAGACGTCTTGTCTGCTGATCTTGTTCATAGCTGTGTACATCGATATCCCACATTGCTTGCACGTACACACCACACAATGAAATATATAGAAACTCGAACGACTTCCAGGGATGGGCAAAGATTGAGGAATGTCTTTCAATGAAGCGAGTTAAGTGTGTTCGATTCAACATCTCTCTTTCCGTCTGTGTCTCTGTTCGCCTATGTGTCTCTCTCTCTGCCTGTCTCTGTGTTCCTCTTGTCTGTGGCTGTCCGCCTGTCTGTGTGTGTCCGTCTATCAGCGTTTGTCCAAACGTAGTCAACGACTCTCAGCAGCACGCGCCCGTTCAGCTCCCACGGCTACACGCCACTCAAACTTGCCCCCAACACACAAAGACAAAGATCCCCCATATAGCCTGAACAGAATGTTGGGGCAAGTGCTGTTAGCCAGCACTTAACACAAAGACAAAGATCCCTGTATAGCCTGTACATAATGTTGGGGCAAGTGCTGTTAGCGAGCACTTAACACAAAGATCCCCGTATAGCCTGTACAGAATGTTGGGGCAAGTGCTGTTAATGGGCACCTAAGACAAAGACACCCCATATAGCCTTAACACACTGTAGGGGCAAGTGCTGTTAGCGAGCACCTATTAAGGGTGGGACGGCACACGAGGGGGTGGGTGGCCAGCACCACGCCCGGCCGCCTTTGTCTCCCTAGTGGCGATGTTTACACACCGCACCGGGTACTCGTTTGAGGCTGAGTCGACGTAGGGGAGGCTCAGGACCGGTTCAGAAAATCGTCACTGGCGGTGTTGGCCACGAGCGGGAATGGAACTCGGCTGGTCGGGTGCGGAGCGCAGCGCTCAGCACGTCACTGCCGCTCCCCTCTGTCAACAAACTTGCACTCTGACCCCGCTCTCTGACGTCACCGCTCAGCGTGACCTCATCGGCGTCAAACGCAAGGGGGAAGGGTGCCACGCTAGTGACGTCATGTCACCAAGGTATTCGCCCGACCACCGCGCTCTTGAGCATGACGTCACCTCCGCTCGGCAGCTGCCGAGATCTGTTCCAGTGCCAATCCTTATTTGGAAAAATATACGCCCGGTGACTGGCGGCTCATTAACATAATGCATTCGTGAAAGCCGTCTCGAGTTTTTTGCACCCCCCGCGCCCCACCCCTCCGACGTATGGGCTGGTGACATTAGCATAATTTATTTAAGTTACAGAGCTGCGCATTGTGGAAGGGGAGTGTCTTGTACCCCAGAAGTGACGTCAGGAAGCTGCCGCTCCGCCTGTGCACTGCAATCCGAGGTGAGAAATTCTCATCGCGGTTGTGGTGGTTGTTGTGGTGGTGGTTGTTTTTGTTGTTTACCGAGGTAGAGCCTCGCTCTCTCTCTCGTAGGGATGTCAATTGAGTAGCAGCGAGCATGGAAGCGATGTCCAGGTTGGAAGTTTACAACGCGGGGCCTATTCACGCGGGGCCTTGCCTCCTGCCCTCGCCTGATTGCGTTTGCTTCAATTCTCTTGCCGTAGTTTAATTTGTCTTGGCACGGATCACCACTTTAAAACTTTTATTTTAAATATTCACCCAGTTTTTTTTTCATTTCTTACCAGGTCACGCCCGCGTTGAGCTGCTATAACGCTCTTGTTTTCAGAAGCGATCTGCCCACCACACAAGGTGAGGCTTGTCAACAGCCTGGTGGTGTTGACTCTAGACGTGTGGTGGTGTTCACTCTAGACGTGTGGTGGTGTTCACTCTAGACGCGTGGTGGTGTTTACTCTAGACGCGTGGCGGTGTTCACTCTGGACGCGTGGCGGTGTTCACTCTGGACGCGTGGCGGTGTTCACTCTAGACGCGTGGCGGTGTTCACTCTAGACGTGTGGTGTTCACTCTAGACGCGTGGTGGTGTTCACTCTAGAAGCCTGGTGGTGTTCACTCTAGACGCGTGGTGGTGTTCACTCTAGACGCGTGGCGGTGTTTACTCTAGACGCGTGGTGGTGTTCACTCTAGACGCGTGGTGGTGTTCACTCTGGACGCGTGACGGTGTTCACTCTAGACGCGTGGCGGTGTTCACTCTAGACGCGTGGCGGTGTTCACTCTAGACGCGTGGTGGTGTTCACTCTAGACGCGTGGTGGTGTTCACTCTAGACGCGTGGTGGTGTTCACTCTAGACGCGTGGCGGTGTTTACTCTAGACGCGTGGCGGTGTTCACTCTAGACGCGTGGCGGTGTTTACTCTAGGCGCCTGGTGGTGTTCATTTCTAGATGCCTGGCGGTGTCACTCTCTACATGTGGAGGGGAAACCGGGGGATCGGGAAGGAAATCCACGCGACCACGGGGGGAGAGAGTGAGAGACACGCAGCCTCGGCTGTGTTGATTGATCCTCAATTAATTACTTGGTGGAGTGAGGAAGCATTAATACTGAGCAGGTGAAGGTGGTCAGGCGTGGGTCTGGACACACCACCACCTGTGAACCATGCCAGTGTGTGACAGTGGTGGAGCCAGCGGGGGTGTGGTGGCACGTGCCCCCCCCCAACGATCCGATCGAAATCCCTAATTTGGATCGGATCATTGGGGTTTATTAGTAACTAGCTTCGCCCAGGACTTGGATTCATGTCTTGAAATAATTTCATATTCCCTTATTTCACTGAAAACCCCTGAAAAAAGTTGATGCTTGCAAGAAAGAAAACAGCCGAAACAAATCAATTTACCTAAATCGAATGTTTTCCCTCAAGGAAATTCAACCTTAACCCACTTCTTCGTAAGGTGGATTTTGGCCACTCGGGAAGGGAATGACGTGGCGAGCTGAAAATAGTCGCGTTCACTTAGAAATTCCAGACGGCATAAGCTGTGCAAATTTCATGACGCCAGAGCTCATAGTTGGAGACGTTTTGCTGCTTTACACAAACAAACATGTAATGTTCTTCTTCATAATTAAGATAGCAGCTGTACCCGTTCTTCGCATGGATATGTATTGAAACTCCGAGAAGCCAATTGCTTCATCGGCCAGGAGCGAAGCGCCACCTAAAATCTCCCGGCACGCTGTTAACAGCTCTAAGTATTGCAGAGCGCTTAACTCAGGTGTGTTGCGGGTTGACGCCACAAATCTCATGGTCATTTCCCCCACCCCCCAAAAAATACAAAAGTATATTTCTATAATAATAGGGGTTTTCCCATATCCTTAGCTCTTTCGGTAAAGTCACGTTGAAGGGAAACAATAAAATAATAAAATATATATATCACAACAAGGATTCATGTCTGCATTAACCACAATACCTGCAGTCAAAATGCAAACAAAAAAATACTATGATAAAATATGCATTGTCCTTGAAACTGATTGGTCCATACCAAGGGTCGGCTTTCTTTTGAGCCTCGACCCAATTGGTGCTCGACCAGATGACACCAAAAGGCGTCCAGCTCAAAGACAATGCACTATCAAAGTAATGAGGGCTCGGGGTGAGCATCTACATCATTAGACCTCCTTTGCCAGTACCAAAATGTAATAGGGTTTTTCCCCTTTTTTCTGGCAACAAAACTGAAACCTTTTTACGAGGATTCATGTCTGCATTAACCACAATACCTGCAGTCAGGTTTCATTACTTTGATAGTGCATTGTCTTTGAGCTGTACGCCTTTTGGCGTCATCTGGTCAAGCACCAATTGGGTCTAGGCTCAAAAGAAAGCCGACCCTTGGTGTGGACCAATCAGTTTCAAGGACAATGCATATTTTATCATAGTATTTTTTTGTTGTTTGCATTTTGACTGCAGGTATTGTGGTTAATGCAGACATGAATCCTTGTAAAAAGGTTTCAGTTTTGTTGCCAGGAAAAAGGGGAAAACCCCTATTATTACATTTTGGTACTGGCAAAGGAGGTCTAATGATATATTTTTATACTTTTTTTACATTGTACAGTAAGGAACCTACCCACATGCCAAATTTCAAGTGTGTGGCACGTTGGGAAGTATGCTAAACATTTCGAACAGACACACGTATCCACACATTTCCCTTTTATATAAATAGATAAATCGGCATTTTGCGACCCCCACTGCCACCGTGTGGCATATTATTACGTGCCAGGGACTCTATGAGAGGACAACAGTCCGAGTCCATAATTGGCAATAAGTAATGCCAAAGCAGTTACAAGCGACTCACAGAATTGTGCGCAGTTGCGTATACAGTACATGACTTCCCTGATGGCAAACACCTTCAGCGAGCGTGATGCCTATCACACGTGTCAAATAAAAAGCAAGGGACAAGTCCTTACTAACAACTCCTTACAACTTTTATCATTTTTAATTGCTGGAGGGGTTGCCCCCTCTACCTGAAAATCCTGGCTCCGCCTATGAGTGTGTGACAGGGTCAAGTTTGTATTTGCAGTTAAGTCTATTAACTCTATAGTAATAGGTTTTACCCTTTTAACTGGCACAAAAACTGACACCTTTATTCAAGGCATCATGTTTGCAATAACCACAACACAAGCAGTCAAAATGCAAACAAAAGAGACAACTCTGATAATAATATGCATTGTCCTTGAAACTGATTGGTCCACACCCGAGACAGCTTTTCTTAGAGCCTAGTCTCCACTGGTGTTGGACCAGAAGACATAATATGCATTGTCCTTGAAACTGATTGGTCCACACCCGAGACAGCTTTTCTTAGAGCCTAGTCTCCACTGGTGTTGGACCAGAAGACGCCAAAAGGCGTACAACTCCAAAACAGCGCACTATCAGAGTATTGAGGGCTCGGGTTGAGCATTTACATTATGAGACCTCCTTTGCCAGTAACAAGATATAGTAATAGGTTTTACCCTTTTAACTGGCACAAAAACTGACACCTTTATTCAAGGCATCATGCTTGCAATAACCACAACACAAGCAGTCAAAATGCAAACAAAAGAGACAACTCTGATAATATGCACTGTCCTTGAATTTGATTGGTCCACACCCGAGACAGCTTTTCTTAGAGCCTAGTCAAATTCAAGGACCGTGCATATTATCAGAGTTGTCTCTTTTGTTTGCATTTTGACTGCTTGTGTTGTGGTTATTGCAAACATGATGCCTTGAATAAAGGTGTCAGTTTTTGTGCTAGTTAAAAATGGTAAAACCTATTACTATATCTTGTTACTGGCAAAGGAGGTCTCATAATCTATTAACTCTATTGAGCACGGAGGTTATATCAGTAGTTTATTTTTGTTTTCCTCTGGAACTCTTTGTAAGAATGGAGTCAGGAAGTTATTACAGCACACACATGCAGCTGAAGTCGGCACTGTTCATCCCAGCATTCAAGGACATCTGAGCCTGGCTTCACACCTCTAAGTTGTGATTGAACATTAATTTATTCATTTCTGCATAATACAAATAGTATTATTTTCAACACCCTTTGCTATGTCAGCTGAATTTAGCTTTCATGAATATCCTTTTGAAGCCAGACAGCCGAAATTGTGTGCTCGGAGTTTTGGGTTAACATTCATTTTTAAGATACTAGGGCTTCCAGGCATGTTCATGACCATTCGCCCTCTCATTGTGTGCCTTAACAGCCCGTGTGATGAATTTGGGACAATTTTTCACTATATCATGAATAAGTATATATAAGTATAGACGTGTAAGTCACGCGTTACTGTGTGTATGCATTCCTCTATGCCTCGATACTGACGTGTAGATGGTGTGGATATATATTTTTTTCTCTCTGCAGCTGTCACTTCCTCTGCAGAATTGATCTGATGGAGCTAAGGCACTCGGCGCAGCTCGATGCAAAAAGGCAACAATGCGACCGGTGTGCATACAGCACAGATCATCCTGGAAATTTGACACGGCACCAGAGAACTCACACAGGAGAGAAACCCTTCAAGTGCAGTGTGTGTGGGAAGGCATTTTCACATTCATCTCTTAAAAAACACCAGAAAACACACACAGGAGAGAAACCCTTCAAGTGCAATGTGTGTGGGAAGGCGTTTGCACGTTCATCTGCTCTTAAAACACACCAGAGAACTCACACAGGAGAGACACCCTTCAAGTGCAGTGTGTGTGGAAAGGCGTTTGCACGTTCATTTACTCTTGTAGAGCACCAGCGAATACACACAGGAGAGAAACCCTTCAAGTGCAGTGTGTGTGGGAAGGCGTTTGCACGTTCATCTGCTCTTGTAGAACACCAGAGAACACACACAGGAGAGAAACCCTTCAAGTGCAGTGTGTGTGGGAAGGTGTTTGCACTTTCACAACATCTTCAAAGACACCAGAGAACACACACGGGAGAGAAACCCTTCAGCTGCACTCTGTGCGGGAAGGCGTTTTCACTTTCACCAAATCTTAAAAAACACTGGAGAACACACACGGGAGAGAAACCCTTCAAGTGCAGTGTTTGTGGGAAGGCGTTTGCACAGGCATCTGCTCTTATAACACACCAGAGAATACACACGGGAGAGAAACCCTTCAAGTGCAGTGTGTGTGGGAAGGCGTTTGCACAGTCATCTGCTCTTATAACACACCAGAGAAGACACACGGGAGAGAAACCCTTCAAGTGCAGTGTGTGTGGGAAGGCGTTTGCACGGTCAGCACATCTTCAAAGACACCAGAGAACACACACGGGAGAGAAACCCTTCAAGTGCAGTGTGTGCAAGAAGGTGTTTGCACGGTCAACGCATCTTCAAAGGCACCAGAGAACACACAAGCATCAGAAGATCCACAAGGAGGGGAATCTGAAATCAGCATGTGAAAGTCAAAGTGCCGCAATGAGCCCATCCCTCGTCAAACAAGAACCGGAAGAAAATCCCAGCTTGGACACTTTTAAAGGTATCGAGGTGAAATATCAAGAGGCAAAGGTGAAATGTGAAGAAGTGATGGTAAAATATGAAGATGAAGATTCAACTCCAAAATCGGACCTTCACATTGATGGAGGCAACGTGAAGCAGGAGGAGAATTCTGAATGTGAGGCAGAGCGAGGCAACTCCCAGCAGTTTGTGGAAGTGGAGGTGTGGGTGGACTTCCTCCGAGACAATACAAAGTCAAATGGAGACCCGTTAGATGTGTAAGCCAGAGACGATGTCGCTCCAATAGAAGCACCTTTGTCACCGGCCTTTCATTAAAATAACGTGAAGTTGAACACTCAATTCCTAGGTGCAACCTGCAGGGTAAGAGCGGCCAGTCTTTGTGGACCTGTGGGTTGCGTAGATTTCTAACCAGGTGTGAGAGCCAATAATCTTCCAATCATTCACTATGTTATCATAAATGCATTTATATGGTGCTTGCTTAATCGCCTCGGAAATTCGGAGTTTTGTATCGTATCTTGTCTCAAACACTGGAAGAGCATCCCCAAGTAGCAGCTGCTCCTGTGTGCACAAGGTGGTGGCCCTGCACCGGCCTGCATGTGGACAAGAGCCTGTCAGTAGGGGGCGATTGTTGACGTGGCATCTCAGTTGTGAAGTTTGTAGGTAATGCTTAGATTTTGCTAAATTTTCACCCAGACACCAGCATACAATGGCCTACTCGTTTTGAATGGCGCAATAGTACACACGCTGTTAAGCAGACGGTGATATTTGTTTTAATAGCTTCTTGTTAATACGATGTAACCTGATGCAGCATATTTCAATGCAGTAATAAAATTTTGCTAAAATGAGTCAATAATTTAGAATGAATACTTGTCTGATTGTGTACGTACATGTAATATTTTGTGTCTAAGGGTCAAACAATGAATAAGTGATGTTCAGACAAAGTGTGTGTTTTGGAAGTAACTGGTGCCACAGCAACGGAGCAACTCCGCCGACACTGCCACCCCCTCGCACCCCTCCACGTAAACACACGCACTCACGGAGGGTCTCGTGGGGGGTCACCTGGTACCATGGGTTTTTACCCGAGTGGCCCCTCGCAGGGATGTCCCATGGTTTCACAGTTGCAGGAGATTGGCCGACCCCCCCCCCCCCCCCCCCCCCCCCCCCCCCAGGCCAAATTGCATTGCGGCCCCCGTGAATTGGCTTAAAATTGTATGGGCACGACGAAGCTCACCGAGCTAACCACAATGAGACACGGCACGGGGAAGGGGCCAAGGGGGAGTAAATATTAGGCTGACAGCGCAGACGAGGGGGTGGGAGGGAAATTCCTGGACTGACTGCAGCTGTGTATTCCGCGGGACGGCCACCCCAATCAAACCGGTTGAGTCCGGGGTGGGGAGGACGGGTGCATAGACAATGGATCGAGGCGTAATTGGAAAGCTCCAGGTAGGGGCGGGGCATCGGTTTAAAATCGAAAGGTAGGCGCCCGATTGGCCACAGGATAACACCACGTGACCCTGGATCTTTGGATTCTGAGGGCATAAATGGGGCGGAAAAACGTTAAGCAGTTCTCCAGCCATTCAGCTGCCCTGTCCGACTCCCAGCCGCTTGCAGCATCTGAGGGACGCTGGCGAGTAATGCTACAACTCGACCCCAGGCAGAGACCTCTCGTACCCTCATCTCTCCGACTCCTACCGCGTCCGTGCGACACCGTGAGTACGTCTGCGAGGTAAGAAGAAGGGTGAGGGTACACCCAGGGATTGAATAGGGATAGGCTCGGCGCTGCTCGACGACTACTTCGGGCCGTACTGGGTTTACTATAGACGCGCCATTAATAAACTTCAGTTCAGAAGATCGGTGTAGTGTGATTTCTGTGTGTGTGGGGAGAGTGTCGGCGTGGTGTGTAATTCGAGCGTGTGTGTGTGTGTGTGAGGCGCGCGGATAGTAATTAACGGCTCCCGCGTTGGTGCAGCGGTGCCGCGCTATTAATAGGGCGAGGGAGGGTTGAGTTAAAACTGATTCACCGTCACTGTTTACGCGTGCTTGCGCTCGCGTGCGTGGCTGTGGGAGGAAAAGGCCAATCCACAGGAGGGGAGAGGGGCACGTGTATACTCATACGACTATTTTTAGCGCTAGCCGTGGTGGGCGATGTGCGCATATGCGTGCACGCAGCCACCTCCGCATTAGTGGTGGTGTACGTGGGGAGTGTGTGGGATAACTCCGGGTGGTGGTGAGCCAGCCACTTAGCCACGTCCCTAAGAGAGGGCGCCGGTGCGGGGAGGCCGATCACCCGATCGGCGGGGGCCCGGCGAGACGTGGAGGAGGAGTGGGGAGAGGAGGAGGTGAGCGTCAGCCCCCACATAATGGTGTCAGAAGTGGGACAACCCCCCACACCTCCAAGGGATATAGGCGCCCCACCCCAAGCAAAGCTAAGATACGTATTCACTGGACGAGGGATACCGTCATGGAAATCGTTTGCCCGGAACCTCATGTATGCGAAAGATATTAATGGCTGGACGGACGCGCAAGCGCTGCAGCAGCTAAATATTAATTTGGATGGGCAAGTAGCCGACTGTGGAAACGCTACCCGCAAGCGTGGAAGCGCATTGGGGAGAGGTAATGCACCGCCTCAGCCAACGCTTCTGTGCGCATAGCCATGAGGAGGCAATGGCAGCATTAAATGTGCGCCGCCGCCGCCAGCCCGGCGAGGACCTCCGCAACTACGCCGAGGACGCGCGCTCACTAACGCAGAGCGCACGCCCAGGGTACACTGAGGAAATCATTGAGGACCTTGCCGCCAAGAAGGTCCAGCGATATTTGGCTGGCACCTCGTGGTGGCAGCCACATGTAAGCTGCACACGCCTTCCATTTAATGCCCTTGTTGAGCATGCATGTGAGAGACTCGCTCATGAGCGCACGCAGTTCCAAGGGTTGGGACGGGAGCGTGCCATCGCGAGCCTTCTCGCAGAGGAGGAGCTCGCCAGGATGGTGAGGGGGGGGGGGCGGTGTTCACTCTAGACGCGTGGCGGTGTTCACTCTGGACGCGTGGCGGTGTTCACTCTGGACGCGTGGCGGTGTTCACTCTGCATGTGGAGTGGGGAAAACCGGGGGATCCGGAGGGAAATCCACGCAAACTCCAAATCTACAGCAGGCGTCAGGGTCGGTATCAAACCCACGACTTCCTGTATGCCAGGAGAGGTAGTTAACATCTCACCACGGGGAGAGAGAGAGAGAGACACGCAGCCTCGGCGATGTTGATTGATCCTCAATGAATTACTTAGTGGAGTAAGGAAGCATTAATACTAAGCAGGTGAAGGTGGCCAGGCATGGATCTGGACACACCACCACCTATTAATATTCTTGGTTCTTTCGGTAAAGTCACGCAGAAGGGAAATATTAAATAATAAAAATAAAAACAATACAATTTTTATTGTTTTATATATATTTTATTTTTCGATTTAAAGCTTTCGTGACTGCAATGATTCATCTTCTTTGGTTCTTTCGGTAAAGTCACGTAGAATGAGAATAAAATAATAAATTGATAAATATTATTGTTATTTTATTTTATCAATTTATTATTTTATTCTCATTCTACGTGACTTTACAGAAAGAACCAAAGAAGATATATTTTATTATTTTATTGTTTCCCTTCAACGTGACTTTACCGAAAGAACTAAGAATATGAATACAATTCTCACCACGTTTCGATTGCAACATCATCAGGTTTTCACACCTAATGATGATTGCTTGTGTGAGAATTTAATTGTTTTATTTTTATTATTTTATTATTTCCCTTCTACGTGACTTTACTGAAAGAACACGAATATGAATCCCTGCAGTCACAAAAGCTTTAAATCGAAATTTACACCACCACCTGTTTAACCATGCCAGTGTATGACAGTGTAAAGTTTGTGTTTGCAGTAAAGTCTATTAACTCTGTTGAACACGGAGGTTATCTCAAAACAATAGTTTTTTTTCTTCTGGAACTCTTTATAAGAATGGAAACATTCTACAAACACTCTACAAATCACACTTAACATTGACAGCAACAATGTATACATCGGATTGGGAACATGTAGACAATATGACTACCTCTTCGGCTGCCAATATGTCGAC